AATAAAGACAATTAACCAATAGGGATGGGACAAGATTTTATGACATAAGATCTCGTGAGACAAAATTGGCACAAGATCATGCACACATGACAAAAATTATCTTGTGAGAAAATTTACATTAGGATAAGAGAAAAAAGGTTATGGGTTGGTGAGTTACATCTCTTACAGTTCCAAAAAGCAGTATTAGAATGGAAACAAAAATATGAAATCAAATAAAAACTGGAAACTGAATCACAAAATGTATATATTAGAAATAGGGATGTAACAATAACCGAAATATCGTGATATCGTATCGACAAAAGTGTCACAATAATATCGTGGACTATCACAATATATTGACTTACAAGTCTATTTGCTTAAATTAAGAGTTACGGTGCAGCAATAGCTGAAAAAGACCGAGGGAACTACATAGACCATGATCCTTTGCTCCATTTCAGCGCAGACTACATGAAGAAATAACAGTTCTAAGCACTTTTAAGTCTTTGGATTACATCTTGTAAGTGGAGAAAGTAGCAGTTTTGTTTGCCTTCACAAAATATCAGAATAAATATCGTACCGTGAGATGTATATCGTGAAAATATCGTACTGAGAGATTTGGATATTGTCACATCTCTAATTATGAGTTTTCCCACAATATCGCACCGTGAGTCTCATACCATGACAATATCGTATCGTGAGACTTGGATAGCTTTACACCCCTAATTAGAAATGATATTTAAATTTCATCTTGTCTCGTGAACCCATTCTCGTATGTCGTCTCATCTTGTGGAAACTGTGTCTCATCTCATCCCTATTTATTTTACCAGTGTTCATATGATTTCACTTATTTCTCTTTCATTCACAGATTGTCCACTTTCTGTAAGCAACAGCCTGCGAATAGTGGGGGGCACGCTGGCCTCCAAAGGCGACTGGAAGTGGCTGATCAGTATGCAGTGGAGAGGGAAGCACATCTGTGGAGGAACCATCGTCACGGCGCACTGGGTCATCACCGCTGCTCACTGCTTTGCCGGGTAACAGCTCATTCCTAAACAAGAAGTAATGATCAAAAGTGGAGCGGCAAATTCATTTTCTATTAAGTATGTGCAAAGCAAACCCTCACCACGATCTCACCATGCTGACCTTTTAATCCCTGGGCTAGCATTTCATATATTGACCTATACACTATATTGCACAAACTGAATGTACTTCAAAGATCAATGCCAGGATTTCACAAAAAGGTCTTCACTGTTTAATTAAATTTGCCTCATTATTAGGGATTAGGTATGAGCCATTCATCAGCTGTACATCAGATATGAAGGAGCTGAGATGTGTTAGTGCTATAGGACTTAGTTATGTAACCAAAATTTTTATATTTAACACATTGCAGTACAAACATGAAGGATGACTAGAGTAGAGTAACATCTGATTTATACTCTGTAGGTAATGTAATTTGAAGGACAAACCTTTATTCAAAATTACATCATGCACATACTCAAAGAATAGACCCAAATCTCCATTATAACTAAAGGTACAATACAAGAATCACAGATATTCAAATCATTGGATATCATCAACATAAAGCTTTTTTTACTTGTAGACTTATAGTGGGAAGAAAGAGTAAGCCATATAGAGCAAAAAAAACAAAAAAAAAAACACTAACATTGTAGTAGTGATGTCAACATTAATTCAATGGCAAAGAAGGTCTTAAATCAAAATTATGGTTGAATCCTTTTGGAGCATTATCTCTGACTGGTAATTCATGTGTCTCATCCGATAAAAAGCTTTTTACAGCGCTCTTGTGACACCATTCACTTTTTCTCCTCCTCAAATAGGCTCTGCTGCATAGTCAAGGTCACTCTCCAAAATTAGAATTTTTGTTGCTTGAAGATTTACAGTGGTGGAATGTAACAAAGTAAAAACAAGTAATAACAAAGTAGTAGTTAAAGGTGCATTATGTAACTTTTTGGTTAGGGGTCTGTCATCTCTTTGATCCTATGGAGATGTTATTGCTCTGCCACAGTATGACATTAAACAGCTGTACCCTACATTTATTACATTTTAAAACACGTGGTTTTAAAGGTCAAAAATATCGAGAAAAACAGACATTCTGAGTGTGAGCAGGGTTGCCTCTCCACTGATCTCACCTGTAATTTGGTCAGGTCTGGTCTCCATGAAGACAGCAAAATTTAATACCATACTGTGAAACATTCCAAACAAAGCAATAACATCGCCACGGAGAAAAGCATCTGACGGACCCTCCATCAGAAAAGTTAAACCTTTAAGAATAAATTGTAGGTATCTGTACTGGAGTACATTTGTGTACATTGGAGTACAAGTGGATACTTTTTCTTTTACTTCAGTACAAAAAAAAAAATCTATTTAACAAAATTCATCACAAATCTTTATCTCAGTGGCTATATTTGAATCTACATTACATCTTAAAATATGTTAAATACTTTTACTTTTTTTCTTTAAATAATTTTTTTGTGCTTTTACATGTTACATGTTGTTTTTTTTTTCTCTTTGTTATTACCTGGTCCCTGAAGGGTTGACCAGGTTTTGTATTCACCCTGTGTGTCTGTCCACGATAATTACGTCATTTATGGACCGATTGTCACCAAATTTGGTAAGTGGGTCAAGCCCCCGTGCCCGATGCCGCAAAAAAAGTTTGGTGACAATCCGAGGTCATTTGAGGTCACACGGGTCAATTGAAAGGTCATGCCATTATGAAGGATAGGCAATTTTGGCAATTTCTAAACCATCTGCGGCCTAAAATATTCACCCAATCATCACACAAGTTGGCACACACATAACCGGGGTACACTGGATGTTACAGGTTGAAACCAGTCAAGGTCACTTGAAGGTCAATGTAAGCAAGATCAAATATGTGTTTTTGGTCATAACTCCACGAAGGATCGTGCTAGAGCCTCGGGAGTGGTCTCAAGCTCTCAGAAAAATTATTATTTATCATTCTATGCATTTGTATAGTAAAACATTAATAGTTTTCAAAATAATCACTAATTATAACAGTTCCTTTCTCTTTCAGTGTATGGAAATAATTTCCATTTCTTCTTTTTCTGGTGATACACAACACACTTATCTACAGTTACAGAACTAACATATACACAACTCATAAAAAAATTACATTTTCGTTACACGTTAGTACACACAGACATTCTCATGTGTGACCAATATCACACAAATGTTCGTGGGCACTGTACAGCTACAAACATTGCATTGTGGATATAACGAGCATGTAATATGGGCAGGGCTCCTCATAACTCATAAGCTGGCTTCTGTGGTGACGGACAAAATAATAATTTCCCTTGTGGATCAATAAAGTCTAAAAAAAATTTTATTTCTTTTTTCTTTTTTTTTTGCTCCTGTATCTGTACTTTTACTCAAGTAACAAAACTGAGCATTTCTTTCTTCCACCACTGAAATCTTGAAACCACAACTGGCCACACTTGTCTAAAAACATATTGTAAAAAAATAAATTAATTAATTAAAATCTTCTCTTGTTTCTTCTTCTCTGCAGATATGACATGATGGAGCCCGCAGACTGGTACGTGCTGGTGAACAGTGTGACCATAGGAGAGGGTTTTGCGGGTAAACGCTACAGAAGCCTCCAGTTACTTTCTCACCCCCAATACAACTCTGACAACAACGACTACGACGTGGGACTGCTGCGGACCGTCACTAACATAGACATGAGCGGTAAGGGGAGAGGTGGCGCCATCTGCTGGAGTAGTAGCAGTAGTGCATGTGGGCGGTGTCTGTAAGGGGTCATGTCAGGTAATGCAATGTTGATAAAAATAAAGTAATTGCAGGTTGTATACTGTTTATAGACTTCACGTAGTAACTGAGTAACAAACACAGATGAGATAGGGCTAATTAATGCGTATCAAAGTTTGTTGTTAATAAAATAAAATAAAATAAAATGTGGGGGTGTAAAGTAGGTTAACTGATTACAAAACGCCGAGTCACTTTACTGTAAATGAATACATGTTTAAACCCATAGACTACTTGTAATTGAGTTTAATTCTCACCGTGTTTTTGTAATTAGTTTAATTTTAAGTCAAGTCCCAACTGCCCCATTTGTGTCTGTTCCTCTCTATATCCACATACACACACACCTTCTCTCATTGGTCAGAGCTTAGAGAATATACTTTTTACTTTTTCTTAAAGGACCCATATCATGCTATTTTCTGATTTATGTTATAATGTTGTTTCATGATTTAACTTTAAATGTAAACTTGGAAACTATCACATGACATCACAAGGTGGAGCAGAGCATTTTGAGATTTGGGAATGTTGACAGACTAATAATAAAGGATTACAACTCCAGATATGTTTTTGAGGAGGTAACAACATTCTATCAAAGCTCACAAGAGAGTTTTATAGGCTACAATTTCACCTGCAGTATTAGAAGTTCTTGTAATTGAATACAATACTGATAAAATGTAATCTTGTTGTAAACTATAGATAGTGTGCGTCCAGTCTGTTTGCCCAGACCGAGTGAGTCCTTTCTCACTGGTGCCAACTGCTGGATCACAGGCTGGGGTCACGTCATGGAAGGAGGTATGCCATTTCAAACATGAAAAAAATAATAATAATACATTTTATTTATAAGCTCCTCTCTAACACACAAGGTCACTTTACAGCATGCATACAATAAAAGCAATGTGAATGCAATTTTAAAAGTATTAAACAGAGTAAGCCAATTTAAAAAGGTGGGTTTTGAGGTTCTCCACATGCCTGCATAGATGTAAATAAAAAGCTCAGCAGGAACTTAGACAAGCAGGTATGCACGTTTGTGAAATAATTAGAGTCTTTTTTTTATGTCCAGACTAAGGTGAACACCAACTAATAAGTCTGACCATCATCTGACTGACTGAATGATATCTGTGCTGTGTTACAGGCTGTAATAATTATAAAAGAGGATTGGTTAGTCTGATAGAGCTGACTCTTGTCACGTAGGCTTGTCATCATTTTTTAACAGTTGTAGTTGTAGTACTAGATTACTTCCTGTAGGTTGTGTCTTGTGTGTGCCATTTTATTACATTTCCATGGAGTGTACACAGTCCTGTTGTTGACCTTGTAAACTTTGAACTTTTGTGAAGGTAGCTCTGCTGGTGACGGAGGTGCTGCTTGTGTCTGCTCCGCGCTCTATGGATTTAGGACACGGTGTAGCTTGGCTTCTCATTCAGAAGACCGCGTTTTATCACTGCTCCATCGATACTAAATGATAAGTCACTGCTCCTTTAGCATACGCCCCCGGAGCTAATCATTTGTTGTTACGTCTGGGATAACAACAATGTGCTCGGTTATTAGAAGAACGCAGCCCGTCAGACTTGCTCTCGCGCTGTGCCTCCGAGCAAACTGCCACGGCTCCTCTTACGCACTCACCGACATCAGGCACTTCTCCCCCGGACTCAGCACTTCCGTGTCCCCGCTCCGAGCCGCACTCAGAGCATACTGCACCAGGATGGCACGCATAGAAGGGCTTTTATTCAGACAGGTACAGTACTTCATGTTTTCTGTAACACGTTAAAGCTACATTTGCTCTGACGGGTTGATACGTCCTGTTTTGTTGGTGGAAGTAACTGTTAGCGGTTAGCTTCAGTTACGTTAACGTCAACACTGCGCTGACAGACATAAACCAACATCAGCGACATAAACGAATAGACATATTTTCTCTTACTATTTAATATTTTCTAATGTTCAACCTGACTTGCAAACCTCCTCCTTGATTGTTTATTTGTGTCTGTAACGTTAAACTTTAGTTAATTTATTTTCCTTAACTTCATTATAATTTGCAGCAAACGGAGGGGAAGTCATGGTTTCCCTTTAACTTTTCTCACTCTCGCGATCAAACATGAAAGCTCTACCAGAGAATACATTTTAACATTATATTTTTTAATTAAAATTAAAAGTTGGCCAACACATGATCATAACAGAAGTGAGGCTCATTTCAGTGCAGATTGTCGCCTGCCTCCATATTCATGTGTTTTCCTCACATTTTTTTTTTAAACTTTATTAACTTTATTAAATTAGAAGTTTCATCTTAAAAACAGTCTTGTGTCTTTCTGCTGAGTCACGCCTGTGTCTCTATGACTCTGTGTCTTTGTTTGTAGTTGTTTGATAGAGACAGCTGCACGTACACTTACCTGCTGGCAGATACTGACACCAAGGAGGCTGTCCTCATAGACCCTGTGCTGGAGACCCTCGGCAGAGACGTGAAGCTCATCGAGGAGCTGGGACTCAAGCTGAAAATGGGAGGTACTCTGTGATAAGAAGAATACTTGTATTTAAATTAGGGTGAACAGATGTTCCTATTTACCAGTTTTGAGCCCGGTGTCCCATGTCCCAGTAGTTTTATTCAAAACCAATGATTTGTCCCAGTTTTATACAAGAAATGTCCCAGGTCTCCCTATTTTTGATCAATCTGATCTAAACCAGGACTAAACTAAGACTAAGCCAGGACTACATCAGGTCAAAACCAGGACTGAAACAGGACTATCACTATTTTCACAAATTTTCAAATCATTGCCAACAGTAATGAGGAGCATAAATTATCATTTGTTTAGCCAAAATAGAAAAAAAAAAACAAAAAAAAAAAAACGTGTTTGCAAATGACAATAAAGCAAAAAAAGAAGATGAAGAAAAAAAAGAAATGCAGCCTCAGAAGTCCCTCAGATTATGATGGAAGAATCCACTATGCTCCACACTCATTTCACAATTTTATTTATACTAACCATCCCAACCTGGGTGTGTTCCAGTTTTGAATGTTGAAAATCGGGTTACCCTAATTTAAATGTAATGTAAATGTAAACTGTATTTAGTTACAGAACACTGAATACACAAATGTATTCTGTAATGTATTCATTTACATCTCCCGATACTGAATACCACGAAATGAAAATTAGTACTATCCATAATACATATTTTCAATAGATGTAGTTTGTTACATTGCAACACGGCAGGTACGCGAGCAGTGACCACAGCATGTACTACAATCAGGACTTATGACTGATTTTGTATCACATTACCTGTAGGATTTTTTCAATATTGCAGGCAGGCAATATATTGACAAAAATAAATGGCAACAGTATTTAATAAATGTTCAGAAAATATCATGGAAATTCATCAGAAATTGTGAAACCTGCTTGAATTTTTTTGGATGATAACATTTAACACAAAAATCCACTTTATTTATATAGTGAATTTTATTAACAAAACAGTTTCCAAAGTGCTGCACATACCATACAATTAGATTAGAATAGATACCATTAAAAACAACAGAGAGAATAAATGCTCATTTTAACCTTGCCAGTCCTAAATCTTTTTCTGTTTCTTTTGTTTTTTGTTCATCTGCACATTTAGCATCATCTGTAATAGTTTTCCAATTTGATGTTATCTATGATATTATATATTTCTCTCCATTTTCCGTAAACATTTCATAATGATAATTTTAACTTAGAAAGGATGAACATTCTTGATCATTAAAAATCTTCAGTGACCGTGCGAACTAAGTCAGATGTTCCTCACAGTCAGAATGACCTGAATGTAGTTCTGATGTTGTCATTAAAATGAGTTGCCAAAATTAAGTAAACATTGATTATTTAAGTTTGTACCAACTTTTGATACCAGCCAGACTCTGTGTTTCATTCTCTCACTACTAACTTTTAGTAACTATTTCACTTCCATAACTTGTGAGCATTGAAAATTAATGTATATATTTTTCACATTTTTATTAATTTTAGCTCATGTTTAAGGTGCATTGTGTAACGTTTCTGGTGGAGGGTCTGTCAAATGCTTTTCTCTGTGAAGATGTTATTGCTTTGTCTGGAATGTTGCACAGTATGACATTAAACCTTTCTATATAGACCAAGGGACAGGTTAGATCTGTGGAGGGGCCAGCCCACTCACAATAAGAATGCCTGTTTTTCTAGGGATTTTTGAGCTGTAAAACCACCTGTAACTGAATAAATGTAAGGTAGATCAATGTCATGCTGTGGAACATTCCAGGCAGATCAACAGCATATCCATAGAAACAAGCAGGTGATGGACCCCCACCCAAAAAGTTACATAGCGCACCTTTACCTGGTGTACCTTTTAAATTGTGTCGTTTTTTTTTTTTCTCTATTTACAGTAAACACTCATTGCCATGCCGACCACGTTACGAGCACAGGGCAGATGAAGAAACAGCTGGTGGATATGAAAAGTGTGATCTGTGTACACAGTGGAGCCAAGGCTGACATCCATGTCAAAGAAGGAGACAAGATCTCCTTTGGAAGACATGTAAGTCCCAATACTATTACTCTATCCAGCGGTGGAAGAAGTACTGCATTTTGTTACTGAAGTAAAAGTACAAATACCACAGCAAAAAATACTCAAGATATAACATGAAAAAATCTACTTAAGTAAAAGTATTAAAGCACCTGTTATTTCTTGCAGTTTTTGAGGTTTATAAAGCTCCAAATATAGCAATTGCTAATACAGTGCTGATACAGAAACAATTAAATCAGTTTTTTCTAGCTGTTTTTATTTGTATATTTTTGTTTGCTCAAACTATGACCTTGATAAAAAAAAAAATACCCCTCCGGCTTTTCAGCAGCTCTTGAACAACAATAAAAAAAATACTTTTACTTCTCAGTTCCGTTAAAAAAAGCAAACAACATGCCACCAAATGTTACGCAGGGCACCTTTAAATAAAAAACATGTATCTATTTTTTCACATAAAGGTGCATTGTGTAATTTTTTTTCTGGTGGAGTGTCCTTCAAATGTTTTTCTCGATGGAGATGTTATTGCTTTGCCTGGAATGTTTCACAGTATGACTTTAAACCTTTCTATCTTCATGGAGACCAAACTAGACCAAGTTACAGGTCAGGTCTGTGGAGAGGCAACTGTACTCACAGTCAGAGTACCTGTTTTTTTTTTTTTTTTTAGGTATTTTTGAGCTATAAAACCACCCGTAATTGAATACATTTGAGGTAGAGCTGTTTAATGTCTTACTGTGGAACATTCCAAGTAGAGCAATGATATATCTGCAGAAACAAGTACAGTTTAAGTACAGTTCTTTACTACTTATACTTTGTTGTATTCCACCACTGTTACTGTCTGTGTTTTCTTCTTCTCTGATTATACCTCATATTGTTGCTGTGGTTTGGTGCAGTCTCTGGAGGTGAGGGAGACCCCGGGGCACACAGACGGCTGCATGACTCTGGTGACCGGGGATCAGAGCATGGCTTTCACTGGAGACGCCCTCCTCATCCGGGGCTGTGGCAGGACGGACTTCCAGCAAGGTATCAAGCAACTTCCAAACAGGAAAAACATTACATTCTCTTTTTTCATTCATTCACTGTCTCTCTTTTTTTTTTTCTTTTTTTTTTTAATGGGAAAGCTGTGAGTTGTAGTGTCTCAATCTGACCACTAGAGAGCAGTGTTGTATTTTATTTAGTCCAGTGAAAAAACACATTTATTGCAGTATTGTAGTTTTATTTATTTTATTATAATGCAGGATTGTGCAGGTAACTTGAATCTTTCTTTTCTTCTTCTTCTTTTCTAAATAAAAAATGTTGGGGAGTAGGAAGTACTGATAACTTCTCTCAAATGTAGTGAAGTTAAACATCCACTAGGGGTGGTACGAGATCTTGTGCCGCAAGATCTCATGAGACAAACTTGCCACAAGATCGCGCACACATGAGATAAACTATCTGGACAATAAGTTACATCTCTGTAACTATTCCAAAAAGCAGTACTAAAATGGAAATGAAAATATAAAATCAAATAACTAAAAAATTGGAAACTAAATTGTGAAATTTATGTATTAGGAATTGTGTTAAAATCTCGTATTTCGTCTCATCTTATGCAAATTGTATCTTGTCTCATCCCTTGTATCCACTTAAAAATGTACTTAAGCAAAGTACAGATACATTTTATTTTATATTATTTTATTTATATTTATTTTATTTATATTTATATTATTTTTATTATATTGAAAAATGGAGTGGAGTAGAAAAATAGACACCCTCTCTCAATTGTTGTGTAGTAACACTAAAGGATTCATCCAATTATGCACTCTTTATATTTATTTACATTTTTATTTTATCAGTTTTTTTTTTTTTTTTTTATCTATTGTGTTTTTTTTTTTTTTTTTCAGGCTGTTCTAAGAAGCTCTACAACTCCATTCATGGCAAGATCTTCACCCTTCCTGATAGCTGCCTGGTTTACCCTGCACATGACTACAGAGGTTCCCAAACAAACCAAATCTACCTTATTTACATACACAATGATTCATAGTACTCATGTTACAATAAACGCTGTATTCTTATTTCACATCAGGTCAGACGGCATCCACTGTTGGCGAGGAACGCAAATACAACCCCCGCCTTACCAAAACCTTAGACGAGTTTGTGGACATCATGAAGAACCTCAACCTTCCCAAGCCTGAAAAAATCGGTATTGACAACTCTGGAAATTACCTTACATTTTCTAGTTATAAGAAACATTATAAGAACATTTATAACACTACTTTCTCATTTTTTGCAGACATTGCGGTTCCTGCCAATATGGTTTGTGGAGTACACTAAATTTAGCAAAAGGAAAAAAAACAAAAAAAAAACTTGAGTCAACACTGAATGCCTAATATTCAAATAACTCTAAATGAGTCTAAAGTGCTTTTTTTCTGTGTGTATGATTATAAATTTCATAAAGGTTTGAAATAGATCTGAACTGTTGCTGTCAGGTTGTTGGCAGTGGTATGAATAGATGTACTTGAAACATCTCTAATCTGTAATGTATGTTGTAATATCTGATAAAAAGTTTATCATTGACCTTTCATTCTTTTCATCCTTGTTATTTCTCTTACATTTTTCAGACATGATTGAAGTGCACTGTGTAACTTTTCAGTAGTTTGTCAGTCACCCTCTTGTTTCTATGGATATGTCATTGCTCTGCTTGGAATGTTCCACAGTAAGACATTAAACAGCTCTACGTTACATTTATTCAATTACAGGTGGTTTTACAGCTGAAAAATACCTTGAAAAACAGGCATTCTGACTGTGAGCGGGGTCACCACTCCACAGATCTCACCTGTAACTTGACCTAGTTTTGTTGATAAAAAAAAAGCTTAATCATACTGTGAAACATTTCAGACAAAGCAATAACATTTCCATGGGGAAAATAGGTAGCGGACCCTCCACCAGAAAAGTTACACAAGCACCTTTTAACATTTTACATTGTATAAACATGACTTTGCTGGATTGTTTTTATCAAGGTAATACCTCTTAGTTTACAGTCTACTTCTAGGATTTTTGCATATCTAGAAACATGTATTTCCATAAGAGGTAGTTGGTTAGAACTACTCCCCTTGAATGCCTTGTGCCAAATATTACACACCTATGAGATAAGGTAAGAAAATATACATGGACTTGACTGTTAAAGTAATTATATTTAAAAAGCTATATAAGTTATTGTATAGTTGATGTAAGTTTTGTAGTCTCTAAACATTAGCTGGCAAATTTTACTTAGAACAGTGTAATAATGTGCCAGGATCACCTCTCCACAGATCTGAACTAACTAAGCCCAATGGCATCACCAGTTGTCTTCATGGAGATAGATGAGTTTAATGCAGTACTGTGGAACATTCCAGTCACAGCAATAACATCTCCATGGATATCTAAGCACGTGGCAGTCTCCCCAACAGAAAAGTTAGTTTACCTTTAAAGGGCCTATAATAATACACTATTTTCTGATCTATGTTATAATATTGTTTCCTCTTCAAAACCATACCTGGTGTTGTGTTTTGTTTCATTCACAGGTTTAATCCACAAACTGACACATATTTAGCCTTTAGGAATTCTTGTCTCAAACTGAAAACGCTCTGTTCCACCTTGTGATGTCATGTAGTAATACAGCAAGTGCTTCACTGTGTTTTTAAACTTCAGACATCTGCCAGAGGTGGGGACTTGCAAGTCGTGACTTGGACTCAAGTCAGACTTGAGTCACTACTTTTAGGGCTTGAGACTTGACTTGATTAAGATCATTAAGATCTTGTCAAGACATTGAAAAAGGAAAAATTTACATTTCTACAACTCTTATATACTCTGTATGTCTGTACTCGTATATAAATATAGCATGACTTTTTAAGTACAATTTTGTTTAAAATTCATATAAATTACAAAAGTCTAAGCTATATTTGGTACTTCAGTTTAAAGACTTGAAATGACTTGAAGCTCAAAGCAGATGACTTGGGCTTGCCTGTAATTGACTTGGGACTTGACTTGGACTTGAGGTCAAAGACTTGAGACTTACTTAAGACTTGCAAAACGACAACTTGATCCTGCCTCTGACACCTGCACTAAAATCATTTGGATTATTTCAGCCAATCTCTATTGAAGAAAATGTAAAAGGTAGCTGTTAACTTGAAAACTACTGCTTCATGACATCACAAGGTGGAACTGCATTTTGAGTGTTGGTAATGTAAACAGTAATAAATAAGGCTTACTCAAATGTGTGAATGAAACAAAACACAAGTCGAGGTATGTTTTTGATGAGGTAACAACATTCTAACATGGCTAAAAGCTCACATTTTTTGCCATTTTTCATTAACTGCTCTCTTACACAAGAAGCAAGGTGTGTATTGAACAGGTTTGGGTGAGTTCTACGGCAGAAATCTTCTCTTCCGCTCCATTTAGATGTTTGAAAAGTAGTGGTAGGACGAGTTCTGTGGGTGTCTCCCTGGTTTAAATGCTTGCTTCACTTGTTGTTGTCATAAAATGCAGTTGCACACAGACTCGGCAGCAACACTCTGCATTCCAAAGTAAGACTGGAATTTACAGTTGTGTTTGCGGAGGATATTATTAGCAAATCAACAAAGGTTCAAATTATCTGTTTTGACATTTATGCTGCTGGATCTAGCTTAGATATTTCCATTTGTTGTCAATTATTGAAGTTCACAGTGAGAAAAATAACATTCAGTTGTAAAGAAATGTCCCAAGATGTAAAAAAGATTATTGGTACATTAACTATGTACTATGTATGTATGTAACTAACAAGTCTGAGAGGGTGGTAGTACTTACATTTACTTGATTACATTTACCTGAGTACTTTTCACAGTATTTTTTAGCAGCATGTTTTTACTCCTACTTGAGTAATATTTTTTTGAAGTAACAGTACATCCACTTGAGTAAACATTTTGGTTATTCTTCCCACTGCAAGTAACAAAAGCTTTATGTTGACAATATGAAATGATTTGTCTCTTGCGCTGCTCCTTGAGATATGATTTAGTTTTTCTCATTTTTGGGTCTTTCCTTTGACAATGCCTGATTTTTTTCTTGTTTATTCCATGTTTTGTTCTTCAAGTTACGTTCTGATCTTCAAATTATAAATCAGTTGTCACATCACAACTGTTACACAGCAAAAAACAAAATCTAGCCAAGTTAAGATGACTTGAATTATGAAAGTTTTATCATGATTTGAGTAAATTTCACTTGACAAGTAAAATGATCTGCCAGTTGAATAAGACTTTTTGTACTTAAAATATGAAAATACATCTTGCTACACTTAAAATAAGAAAAACAACCACATTTTGCACTTAAATAAGAAACAAAATTGAATGTTGCTTGAATTAAGAACACACTTATTCCACTGATTGATAATTTTACTTGTCGAGTTGAATCAACCATTGTGGTGGAGAGAGAGCTGAGGCAATTTACCGGTCAATCTTCATTCTTACTCTCACCTATGTTCATGAGCTCTGGGTAATGACCAAAAGGACGAGATCGCGGATACAAGCGGCCGAAATGAGTTTCCTCCGCAGGGTGACTGCGCGCTCCCTTAGAGAGAGGATGAGGAGTTCGGTTACACAGGAGGAGCTTGGAGTAAAGCCGCTGCTCCTCCACGTCAAGAGCAGCCAGTTGAGGTGGCTCGGGCATTTGTTTCAGTTGTCTCCTGGACGCTTCCCTTGGGAGGTGTTCCGGGCATGTCCCACTGGGAGGAGACCCCGGGGAAAACCCTGGACACGCCTCAGGGTCCCCCTGGAGGAACGTGTCTGGGGTGAAGGAAGTCTTGGGTCCCTGCTTAAATTGCTGCCCCCGCAACCCAACCCCGGATAAGCAGAAGAAGATGGATGAATGGAAGTTGAATCGACACAAATAAAGTAAAATGTTTTTAATTTAAGTCATTTTAATTTACCTAGATATTGTTTTTTTCCCCCCAAGTGTACTAGTACTATTTAAAGGTGCATTGTGTATTTTTTTCTAGTGGATGGTCTGTTATTTGTCTGGAATGTTTCACAGTGCAGCATTAAACCTTTCTATCCTTTCTATCATCATGCAGACCAAACCAGAATGAGTTACAAGTCAGATCTATGGAGAGGCGACCCCACATAGAATGCCTGTCTTTCTAGGTATTTTTGAGCTATAAATCCACTTGTAATTTAATGAATGTAAAGTAAAGCATTTTAATGCCTCATTGTGGAACATTCCAGGCAGAGCAATGATATATCCATAGAAACGAGCAAGTGATGGACCCCCAACCAGACAGTTAGTGTACCTTTAAATTACTATTACTTCTACTTTTGGTCAAATCTTGTTAACTTTTAGCGAAATTAGAAGTCCGACCTACTTTATGCACTTTCAAATTTCCAAGCGACGTTTGTGTTTTTAAATGTATATCTTCTCTCCTGTTACATAACCCGGTGTCTCTTGCTTTTACAGTACAGAAAATATACTGAAGTTAATGCGCCTGCTTTAACTACAGTATCCCATCTGTCAGTGTGGGAGCAACAATACACGGGTCTGCCCCTGAGCCTCACCTCCTCACTGACAGACACCTGCTTTGTTCTGCTTCAAAACAACAGGGCGGGTCCTTGTGTCCGACTCAAATGATGTGGTTTTGCTCCACTCCACACAGGCAATGTAATCCTCACTGTGTACCACCATCTGCCCTTTGTGTTTCTCAGTCAGAGGTATGTGGGCCCCAGGATGAGAAGTGTTTGAAATGGTGCTAGTTAAAAAATACTCATACATTTGAAATAGAAAGTGCAGTATTTGTCATATGAAGAGGAGGTGAAATGTATGTGGCATTTGTTTTAAAGGCGCATTGTGTAACTTTTCTGGTGAAGGGCCCGTCAAACGCTTTTCCCCGTGGAGATGTTATCACTCTGTCTGGAATGTTTCACAGTATGACAGTATGGTATTAGACCTTTTATTAAACATTTCTATCATTATGGAGACCAAACTAGACCAAGTTAAAGGTCAGATCTGTGGAAAGGTGACCCCGCTCACAGTCAGAACGCTTGTTTTTTGAGGTATTTTTGCGCTATTAAAACACTTGTAATTGAATAAATGCAAGGCAGAGCTGTTTAATGTCATACTGCGGAACATTCCAGGCAGATCAATCGCATATCCATAGAAACAAGCAGGTGACGGACCCCCAAACAAAAAGTTACATAGTGCACCTTTAATGTTACTCAGGGGTCTCCAACCTTTTTCCTTTTACCTTTTACCTTTACAAAACAAAAATGCCGGAGAACTACTAATTTTAGCGGTCGCAAAAATTGAGACGATTATAAGAAAGAGGGCAAGCCTTTGGGGATAGTTAGATGCTTCAGAATTATACATTTACAATAGTGATAGGCATTTTATTAACCAAATTTTTGTTATAAAAAAAAAGGTAAAAAAAAAATTCCATCTTTTCCCTATATTATTATATTTATTTATTTATTTATTTAATGTACTTCTTCTTTTTCTTCTTCGTTCTTTCTTTCTTTCTTTATTCCACTGGAGACAATGGAGGAGGGGGTAATGGGACGGAGGGTTGGGGAATAAAAAAATTGT